ACTTGTTCATTGTCATTTCGAACGCAAGGCGAACTGGAAATTGCAATCGTTTGAAGTCAAAGGGAAGATCAGTCAGAATCATTGATATTCGAGGAAAACATACATTTTCACCTCCGTACTTTCCGTTAATAATGGTTGCTTCAATCAAATTCGGCATAAGTCTTTTTACAGAAAGTTGAGTACCATTGCAAAGTCGCGATGGATTCAAATTAGACAATATCATAACTGTACCAACTTTGAGTTGCAAGTTATGTGGTGGAAATCCTGGTCCAACTCTGTCGGATAATTTACTATATCATCGGGATTTGCTATGGAATCAACGGATTTGTATGTCACCAAATCGCCAGAAATTTTTGATTGAATGGTGAAGTTCAGTGCGTGTGCATCATTACTCTTTGCGGCAAGAATTGCTCGTTGACTTAACCAAGCATAATTCTCATAATTCTCACAAATGTTTGGGAAAATATTTTCAATAAGAGCTAATTGAGAGTCTACAAATCGGTAAAAGTTGTTGGTAAGAGTAATTGATCGAGATGTCGCATCTACTGGGACTTTTCCATTTCCAACAGCTAACAATTGTTTGGAAAATTGTGCAGCACTTTGATCATTTTGAAGTTGAATTCTCATATTAGTGGTTAGCGATAATGTTTTTACATTATTCCATAAAGGATATGAGTTCAGTCAAGCATTCAATTCATCGGCAGACGTTCCACGGTGAATTACTGGCAACGTCTGCCTGAAATCGCCTGCCAACAATATCATCAAGTCCCCAAAGATATTGTTATTTGGCCGAAGATCTTTCAGTGTGAAGTTAAGTGCTTCAACTGATTTCTTATGTGCCATTGTGCACTCTTCCCAAACAATGGACTTGCATTGCATCAACAATTTTCCCATTGCACTGGATCGGGAAATATGTCACATTTTGATCGAATAGTGGCCAAAATCAATGAAATGACAAATATTTTTCCTGTTCCCTCAGGTGCGTCCAGGAAGAATAGACCACCGGTATTATTGTCCACCGCTTGAATTAATGTGTCGTATACTTGTTTTTGCAAAGTTCATTCAGCAAAGGCACATTATTGCGAACGAATTCCTGCAGTGTATCAACATTTTATTGCAGCTCTCGATTTAATACTTGGTTCAATGCACCGTGCATCGATCGATTTGGCGCAATCATTCCTACTTCAATCAGTAGCTTGTTTGCTATAGTCAAGCATTGACCCTCAATCAGAATCAATCCTTTATTGTGGATTTCATCGGTTATTTAGATGTCAGGATTATTCGTTTGAATGAGCAAGCGATGCAAGATATCTTCACATATGTGGTTTTTGTATTTCTTCCATAACTGAATTGGTTGAGAAGGAAAACATGTAGTGATCATAATTGCGAACAGCGTTCGTATTTGGTACGCATTTGATGAAACAACTGAATCCGAAAGTGTTAAATCCCAATGAAAATCATTCTCCAGCAAACCCAATAGTTGACATACTTCTCGATATGTTTGGCATTGGTGGCCATTCACAGTTTTCAAATGCGCAAATGATTTTGGTCCACGTAAATTTACCAACAGCAGTCGCAAATAAAAACATTAATCATTTTTAGGATGAACAGTATACATGCGACCTAGTGCATCAGTGGAAAACACCTGTGGGCAATCTGCAATTGGGGTTCCTTGTTTGCGACGTTTTAATTTCTTTGTTGACTGATTCCAAGTGTAATACTTGGGCATTTCAACGTACATCAGCCTCGCTGCGAATAGATCTGCTTCACACTAGTCAATGTTATCGGTGGTGGTCTCTCAGCTCGTTGTGCCGCATTAGCCTCAGTGAAGTAATCACGCAAGTGTATATAGTCCTCAGGTCGTAGCTTTGCCTGATTGAATTGGATGAACGCTAAACGTTCTGTCTCGACTTTGACATACATGTCGACAACGAATAGCTGGAATAGCCGACGGCACTTCAGAATGACATTCTCCTCATGTCCTCGACAATGTCTCGGGATTTAGTTGGATCGCCAACAGTAATTGCAGTAACATCATTAACGGTGGATGCATTGAATCTTCGCACATGTTCACCTGTTAGGGTACAATCCACTCTTATGGCAAATTTGTGCGTATCCGATGGCATTCGTTCCAATACCGTTTTGAACATATTAACCACAGCATTATTAGCGTGAAAAAATGCTTGCAACTGTGAAATAATTCGTCAATTTAACTGTTGTGTTCTCTGTATATTGCACCGCACATTCAGCTGATCCACCATCGACGAAATAAAATATATTTGCAGAAATTGATGCGGTTCATCTGGTGTTGGCACCATTGAACCAGGCAATTGATATTTGTTCTTCTATCTGTAATTGCAAACAATCATTTGCTGAAGAATACGGTCTAACGGTGGTGTAGTGTGTGGTGTATATGTAGTTTTTAAGTGTTGCAATTCATTGTGTTGGTGTGAGTGATTGGTTATGTGTGTTGTATCTTTTACCTTTAAAGTCGGCATGAAGCCGCCTTCTCGAATGATATTAGCTCCAAAGGAAGTCATGGGAAGCAGTTATTGTATTCATGTGTTGAAGAAAATGGCTGGAATCGGAATCACTTCCATTGAACAATGGTTTCAATGGCTGTGGTGGTGTTAGTAATGGATACAGTTTGACTTTTCCACTTGCGCAGCACAATCCAGCCGTTTCTCTTTTAAACTTTAACGCATTGCAATATCGGCATATAGTCGTCATTGGTCCAATTTCTAAATTTTCATCATCACTGTAGTTCGCAGTGGAATCATATTGGAATGCCAAGCGATTGTATGATGCCAATGATCTTCGTGTCCTCATTTCGGGCATTTTCTTTTATTATATTTGTCTTTCTTAGCTTAAGTTCTGTGAATACACTTGTCCTCACATGCACGATCCACTTAATTTACTCAGTTCAACTTACCACCTTAAATTCAAATGCCTGCTGATGAAATTGAATAAAAATTTTCACAACGCACGTGATTGATTTGATGGTTTCGAATTGAAATGTTAATAAACGAATAACTTATTTTTTTTTTAATTTGGCCTAACAGATCAATCATATCTTTCCAAGTTGGATTGCACGTGAAAGTAATGAAGAGATCCGGTCGTCCGTACTTGCACACGTAAGTCAGAGCATCTTGAGCGTATTCGTTCATATGTCGAGGACTGTCGGTGTTCGTTGCTGGTAAAATCACATTTAACTAATATTTTCATCATTATTAATCGCATCACGTTAGTGAATATATTCCTCGGCGCGTAGCTTCGTTGACTCAACCGAACAAAAAGAAGACGTTCACTTTCAATTTTTATGTAATGTAATAGTTCACGGCGTTTTAACAAATGATTAAATTCATTTCGTCGGATTATAAGGCGGTAGGCATAAAAGTTCATGCAAGAAACTTTTTTATTGACTCATTATTTAAATTTGCCTGCATTACATTAAAATGGTAACCATCTTCGCCACGTGGAAGAAGAACTGGATAGTTTAATGCATCATATGATCGGTGCGTTTCCGCAACGCGCCGAAGGTTTTCATTTCGGAGATGGATGATGATATCGCGTCGCTCAAATTCTGTTCCGACCATAACCACTGCAACGTCGTCTTTTACCGGTGCATTGAATCGCCGCTTATGCTTTCCAGGTGGTATTTTGTCTGCTCTTATCACAACCTTATAATCATCTGTCAGCATCTGGTCTAGAGCTGTTTTAAATGAACGTATGAGGCTGTTGTGTTCATGAAACATAGTTTGAAGTTCTAAGACGATTTCTCGTTTTACTTCAGTACTGATTGCCCAACGCCGATCAGCTTCGGCAGCTTTATTACCGGTGAAATAAATTTGTAAGACTTGGGATCTTCATCTTGAACTGGGAGCAATGATCCAATTCTGTGGTAAATTTGACCTTGCACTTTAGAAGTGGGCATGTAACCAGCATTGTTCACTATGATGGTTGCTCCAAAGGACGTGATTTGGAAACATGAATTATGCTTTCGGATGTTTTGAAAAAAATATGTGGAAGTTGAAGTGAGCTTAAAAATATAGCTAAGAAGTGGCTCAGGGGGCTTCATCAATGGTGTCAAAACAACTTTACCGTTCGAACAGCACATTCCAGGGGATTCTTTAGCGAACTTCAAAGCACCACAATGTGTACAAACTTTGTTCATTGCACCGATCACTACATCCTTGTAATTTCTGTAATCATCATCCTTATTGTAATTGAACGCTGCAAGATTTAAATCTATTTTCTTTTCTTAATTGAGCTATTCGCTTACAATTGGCATCTAGTCTTTGCGTACGTTTTTGGATTGTCTCGGTAGCTCGCGATGAAGATTTTTGTTCACTATCTTGTTGAAGCCGTGATTCATGCTCTTCTTACGATTTTTCTCAAGGTTCAACCCACGATTATGAGCTGTTACATTTGCTCTTTTTTCCTTAACATTCTTTGATTTGGAGGTTTTTTTTTACCAATACTTGCTTTTTTGGGTGGCAGTTTTCATTTATTACAATGATTCTGGGAAGAAACATGATTGGTGAGAAAAAGAAAATTTTCCGTTGTAATAATCAATTGAAAACGCATCAGTAAACGGATACATTCGCGGCGCTACAACTTAACTGGAAATCCTTAATTATATACTTTAATAGTTGTGTCAACACAAATTCATGTTATAAAACAATAGAATATAATAATAGTAAATAAAAACTGTATTTGACAGTTCAAAACCAAAAAAAAAAAAGGATTTCTCATCATGAGATGAACAAACTTTGTGTACTCTGTGGCAACATGTAGCAAACATTTTTCAAATTTAATTTTTCTGAGGTTTTTGTGAGCATTTTCTCTGCATACTCGTATAAGGATTATTAATTCCGTACATTTATTTGTAAATGGTTTTGAATATTGATTTTTTATTTAGTGCGGAAAGCAAATATATATATTTTAAAGTGAAATTTATGTACATATATAATACTTAATGTGTTAAACTCTATTTCCAGCTGCTGGACATGACGAAACAAAAACAAACGTGGCCCCAGTTTTTCTTGTGCAGTTGAAGGATGTTGAAATGTTGGAACAAACATTGTTCAGATTTATGATTAAAGTAATGGGGGATCCAAAACCTAAAGTGAAATTGTAAGAAAAAATTAAAAGCATAAGTCTTAATAGATACTAAATCCAGGTTTTTAATTAAATTATATTTTTAGCGTTAACACTTTTATTCTTTACTTTCAATAATTGACTCTATATCAACCTTAGGTGATATTATGCTTTCCCAATCTTTAAAAATGCTGCTTTGGTTTAGAAATAAGATCAAAATTTTTTAACATATTTTTGTTAAAATACACTGATATTTATTTTCAATTTCGTGGACTGTACGGCATTTTATGTTTACCTACGTTGTTTCTTGATGAGATATTGTTTGGTGATGTTTGCGTATAGAACGCATATTATATTCACTCTTTTATACCTGCGCAACATGTTGCACAGAGTATAATAATTTTATTCACCTAACGAATATTTGTATTACTAAAAATACTAAAAAGAACAGTTGAATTCCAAGTGAATATCTACCTGCCCGTCCGTCTGTCCGTACATGCAAGTAGCAACTTAAGTGAAAAGTGAGTTGATGAAATGTGGTATACGTGTTCCAAATTCTTTCATATTCCTTAAGTATCCCCACCGACACAGTAAAAAAAAAGATGAAATCGGATCATAATCTCCACCAGAGACATTAAATTTCACACCCAAGATGGTACGAGAAAGCTTTATAGAAGCCGCGGTCAAAATAAGTCGAAGGGCGTGACAATGCTCACATTTAGGTTTAAAATCTTACTTTAGTACCTTTTCGACCTTCTTCACCCAAAATCAATAAGTAGTTTACCGTAACATTCCTACAGTTCTTATTGCCAACTTCTGTCCGAAAACGGTCAACCCATCATCGAAAACAAATTCCTCCGAGTTTGATCCTTGAAAGTTACGAGAGTATAAAATGTTCGGTTACACCCTTACTTGTTATGCTAACGCTTAATGGTGAACGAAATTCTGCTCCAACCATGTTATAACTAAAATATATTGAGTACACATAATTTTGTGTTTACGCGGTAAATTGATTCCAGAAAAAACTGTGAAAACAAAGACATTGATCAATGATGATAAATTTGTTTTTAACCATTAAACAGGAATTCTTCTTAATTTATGATATACACATTCGCAAAAATTAAATATGTCAAATAACATTAAAGCCCTAAAAATTTTAAAAGGTGCAAATTCAAAATTATTTTATTTTCAAAACATGTAAAAAAGATCGAGGAAAAACATAATTAAGTGTTTAAGTATTTTTCTGCTGATCAATTTTGTTATACATAATAATAATTTGTAAGAAAATTATTTAAATTGTAAAAAAAATGTTTTACCAGAATATACTATTTTTGCTCATCTTAAACTAATTAAAATAACCAATTAGATATAAAATTACATTCATATAACCATATATAAATAAACAGAATTACGAGGCGAGTTGAAATCTGCGTGACGTTCATCTGCCCGTATAAACTAAAATATCTTTCTTGGCACCATGAACAATTGGACCACTGCCACCTCACAAAAAACCGAATAATCGAAAACCTATAAAACGCCTAAACTAAGCGGCAAATTAAATACTTAGTACAGCGAATCACAGAAGGGAGACATCTTTGGGTTGGAAATTTTCAAATAGTGGGCGAGGCCTCACACATATCCTATAAATCACTAAAAATATATCAAACAAATTTGATCATGACAATTTCGGTTGAAATCGTTTCAAACCCATGTCCTAAATACCTTAACTTTACTTAAATAACGTAAATCACAAAATGGAATTCATAACATCAAAATGTATTCATTATAATAAAGAATTGCGTGCAAGCCATATTTGCTTTAACCGCACAACCATGCCCAATGTTATTTTTTCGCTGTATCGACAACGACTAAACGAAATAGCGTAAGTTTACATGAGAAGTTCGCTAGCCTTAAATTGAAATCCTATATGTCAGTAACAGCTTTACTAATTGCAACCAAAGAATTGTGCGTAATATTTTTCTTCCTTACTGGACACCGCCTACGCGGTTATAGCCGAGTCTTTCTCCACCTGGTACTTCCTCTGCTTCCCCCGGCGGGTACAGCATGGTACACTCTCAGAGCCGGAGTGTTGGCAATAGTTATTCTGCGTTAGATTTGGAGGCTGACGTTGCTGTTAATACTGGCTCCAATATAGACAAAATTATTCACGAATTCGAAGCTATGACAGTCAACAATGATGTGGGAACCAAATATTAGTTTTGCGGGGATACCAAATTCAAATATAGCGACATAAAGGCAGGCTCTTTTCACGCTGTCAGAAGCAGCCTTGACATCGACAAAGAGGTGGTGTCGATACTCTTTTCACGGGTCTTTCCCGAGATTTAGCACATGGTGAATATCTGGTCAGTTGTTAATTTTCCAGGCGTAAAGCGAAATTATAAGGTCCAATTAGTTTGTGAATGGGTGGATTTTACACGATACGCTCAATATAATGGTATTTTCCTACGTAATCATAAGTCCTTTTAATTGAAAAATGCCCTTGCATTGATTCCTTGCAATAATCTCAATTTCCATCTGGTTTGGTACCACAATTAGTCCCTTTGCTGGATCCATGTACAAAATATCATGAGAGATAAATAATTCTTCGTTTTCCAATATTTTGTGAATTCATCTTTTCGTTAAGCCTCTACTAATCTACCATATGCTTTAACGATTTGTCTATTAAAACGCGAGCTAGCGTGCTTCATTTTAGATTTCATTTATGGCGTATGCTCTATAGTATAATTATACTATAATTAAATCCTTCCAAAAACTTGCCCTATCTAGCTAATGCGTTGCAATAGGTTTGATTACGTTGTCAATGGAGAGCACTTCAAGTTCATAAGAATTATGGTTCTCTTCAGTTGAACTTGTTTTGTGGCTTATGAATAGCACTAGATGATATGCTTTATCCTATGCTCTCTTTTGCAACATTGCCGCACCATACTCATGCTTTGATGTATTTGTATGGTCTTCTGACCATACAGCATTTGAGTTACTTTACTCTTGGCCATTAGCCCTTAATTTTGAATGAGAATTCAAAAGTAGGATGTAACTACTCAGCTGCTGCTCTAAGAACTGTCTTCGGTATTATTAAGCCCTCCGTTAGGACCTTAAGTGTTCAGCTATCTCGTCAATTATTGTCATTGGAAAACTATCGTGCAGAGTTATATCATTTAGTTTGCTATAATATCAACCTAATTGGTTTGTTTTATCCTTTTTAAACACAATTACATTCGGTGACGCGTAACCGGATATACTTGGAGTAATAATATCTTTACCAAAGCTATTCCTTTATAAACGTGACAGACATGTAGTAACAACACCATATATGGTACAAATACCATAAGTTGTAACAAACTTTGCTAAAAGCTTTTACACAAGAGCTGAGAAATATATTCTGTCAAAGTGATTTAAAAAATCAATAAAAAAATAGAAAGTAATACTACTTGCATTATTTGGGGACTTCTGAGTCAATGAGGGCCTCATTTAAATTCGGGGCTAAAAAATTGAAAGGATACGATTAACCCATAAAAATATTCTTATATAGTACTACAAACTGTATGCGCACAACTTTTATCATTGTTCGTATATTTTTATTGTTTAAAGTTTTTTCAAATATTTAATGTCTATGAAACAAAGCTAGTATGTGAGTTTACTACATTGCCATGTGTGTGTCAACGTGGTAAATAGAATACCATTATATCTTTACCATGATGTTGTTACTACATGTTTGTCACGGATACTACTTGATCATCTACAATTATTTGATCTTGAAATGATACGCGCCTAGGTGGCTGATGCAACGGTACATAGTTCTTTAAATTTATTTTCATTTCCACCAGGGAAAGTTTAATTCATTTTTGCCCATACTTTGAGCATTTTCAACATTTTCCTATTGAGAAGATGTGACAAATCATACATTCGCTCCAGCTCCTGTTCTTCGGCCCTAATTCTCTCAACTTCTCTTTTAACACCGTCACCATCATGCTCAATATAGTCTGAGCCGGATTTTGCGTGCTCTTTTACAATTCAAAGTACTTATTAAATACCTAAATTTAAAGGTCCATTTTGACAACGAAATAAATTCACAACTTTAAATTGTGTTAGTAGAAGTAGTAGCAGTAATTTTAAATGATGTGGTTAATTTAACACAAAGTTAATCTAATACAAAATTAACCTGTAAATCTCGCTGTGTCTGGAATTGCCTGAGCCCACTTTTATGGAAAACTTCTTGTTTGTATCATTTAAAAATTCAATGATTATATATAGTATATAGAATTGTATATATATTATTTATTTAAACTTTTACAGATTATTTTTACAATTCCCTTTTACTGCGCTTTAAGTTCTTATCTCTCTCCAGTACTTCACTGTGCAGCGTCCGCTATCCAAAGTCCTTTTGTAGTCAGTTCTGAAGTGATCAGAATTTCTCTTTTCGTCAGTTTTGTCGTATGTCAAAAATTAAAAGGCATGTTTCCTTAAAAATATGAATACAATTTGCCTACACTATGGAGTAAACCCCATATCCCTATAATGATTTCCGACCCCATAACAGATTGGACATACAGAAAATCATAATATCAAAATTTAAGGATGCTATGACTTTTAATATAAATTAATAAGTTGCCAAATAGGATTGTAACTCATTCACAGTTTTGTAGAACAATGGGTGTACTTATATCTTGCATACTGTTGCTACATAGTATAATAGTTTTGTTGCACTTATCACCTAAAACTACGTGAAATAGAGGTTATATATACACAAATGATCAGGATGACGAGAAAAGTGGAAATTAGTGTGACTGTCTGTGTGTTTGTCCCACTTTACAAGCTGTAACTTGTGTAAAACTTGAGATATCTTGATGAGTGGGCGTAACCGTACCATTGTCACGCAACGCATTTAAACGAAAACTTATAACCGTAACTAAGTACTGAATTAAAATATAAAACTCTAATTTTGCACAAGATATCGTAGTAGCAAAGTGCACCTGTGGAAAAACAAATTTTAAAAAGAAGCCTTAGCTCAACCCATTAACACTTTTAATGAACATATCTAAGAACTTCTAAGAACTCCTTCCAACAGTGTGAAAGTATGTAGGTCGAATATGTAGGTCAGTGTATGAGATATACGTAGTACGTGATGTATTATATAAAATTGCTTGGGATCCGATCCTCTGGTTGACATTTTACACCATAAGTTAATTCCCTGGATATGATTCCTGTAAAGTGTAAAAGTGTTAAAGTGTTCTGTTGCATTCCAACATAGTCCTTCCTTACTTGTCCTTATACTAACATTAATTATTATCTAAATAATAAGGTAAAGGGACTTATAATACCCCATCTGGAAAAACTTAAAAAATCCAAAGTAAACAGGACTTTTAAATGTAGCGCCCCTGGTGGCGCCATCTGTATGTCGACTGATGCGTTAGAATCTGCTATTTTTATCGATTGTCCAGTGAGAATTTCTACATTTCATCGATTGGAAGTGAAGTTATTGCGTTTTAAGTGTCAGTATGTTTGTGTTATCGGTGCGAAAATGAGCTTCGAACAAAGAGCCAGCATTAAATTTTGTTTCAAAACGTTTCAATTGATGAATCAAGTATGTGGCGATGATGGTCTATACCATAGTGCACTCCCCATATTCACCTGATATGGCATCGTGCGACTTCTTCATTTTCGGAAAAATACTTTTGCCCATGAAAGGAAATCGTTATGTAGACGTAGAGACTTATGCGTTATGCATACGTAGAGACCATTATTTTGAATAAAATAAATTGATTTTGCCAATAAAACCATTTGTTCTGTTTATTTTATGTCCTGTTTACTTTGGAAAGCACCCTGTATTAAGTTTGATTTCAAAGAAATTATGTAGTTATACCAATAAAAAGCGAAATAAAACGTTTTCACTAAGTTTAGTTGCCTAATATAGGCAATATGTTAATATAAAAAAGAAATCCCTATTTCATTCGTTATTTCAGCCATTCACAGTATAAAAACTGAACTAAATATGCAAAGAAAACAAAAAAAACATTAGTGAGTTATCCGCATACTCTCTTGTACGAATAAAACACGAAAACTAGTGTTTTTCCATGATCATACTTTTTTTTTGCAAGAAAGCTCACAGTTAGTAAACTTAATGAAGACAGTTATTATTTGGTTAGTGTGAGACTTCGTTATCATTTAAACGTCAATTTCGCAGTACAATGTGGGTATCACTGTTAAAGATATTAGGTAGAGAGGAAAAGTTAATTAATTTGAAAATTCAAGTTAGTTTACCATTTCGCAAAACATGCGGTCTAACATGTACTTTTTACTCCCTTCAAAACTTTGTTGATTTTTAATCCATTCTATGCAATTTGAATTTTCAGTTTTAAAGATGGAGACGAAATTTCAGAAGAAGATAACCATATCCAAATAAATAGAGAAAAGGATTATTTGGGATATTATGAACTAATTATAAACGAAGTACAAAAGTTTGATTCTGGAATTTACACTTGTAAAGCTATAAATAAATACGGAGAAGCTCAATGTGAAGCAAAAGCAACAACTGTAGGTAAGTCAAATACCATACATATATATTTGGCTGTTGAGGGGAAATAAATAATGCAAATTGCAACTACTTAATTTTATATAAATATATAATTTAACTTACAAATAACTGGGAAGTAACATAATATCATTAATATTGTAACGGGATAAAATAATTAACACCTTCTTTACAGTTTTTCCGTACTCCAAGATATAAATACAATGTTTTAGTATCTGATTTGAATGAAATATTACCACATCATAAATATTGAAAACAATATTAAGAATAGATTTTATATAAATTTTTCACAATTAAGAGTCATTACACATACTTACAAGTGTATAGTACATAATGTTTGCTATAGCCAAGTAGATGCGGGCCAATGTCAGCCGGCCTTGAAGGAATGATGAATATCCCGTTAGTTTCGAGCAGAGAACGTCTATTATAGAGAAGGTTCACGTTTCAAATATCGTAACTTTTCGAAGGGGTACTTGGCAGAGATGAGCCAGTCTCACCACAGGCAAATTATAAGCGTGTTTCCTGTCTCTTATACACATCTTCACAGTTCTCAAATTTAATAAGAAAATTTCCTTTAATTTTTATTTTCATTTTATTACAATTGTGTACAATTTCAGAATAAAAATTCTTAAATATTAGTATACCAGGTGAAATTTTGTTTACAACGGTTTCTTCAAAGGTTTGCATATCGCAGTATGCTTCTTCGAAGTTTAGTATATTCTTTAAACAATCATCTACAATTTTTTTCAAATTTTGTTTCAGATTTTCCTTTACATTTACATTAAAAATATTGTTCATTTTATCCACTAGTATTTCATAATTTTTCAATATGATTGTTTTATTTTTGGCATTAGGGATAGGCTCGAACAGGATTTTGGATAGGATATCTCGTGAATAGTTAGGAATTTTAAGGATTATGATAATATTCTGTTCTTGTACGGCGACGGAAACCTTGATGTTAGAGTAGCTGTCAAAGTCATTAATCAAGTTGAGTTCTGTCTCTGTTAAAATATCGGTGGGAATTATTCCGAGTTTGCTTGAAAATATTATTTGACCAATGTCGTCAATKTGRTCACGTAAAAGRWAAATGTCATTGTTAACTTGGTAAATTTGTTRCATAAATTCAATTTCGTCTTCTACTGTCATTATTTTGTTTTGGATAAAGTTCTTGAATTTGTTCAAATAGTCACTTATTACAATCTGTTTGTTATTTATGTGATTAGTAATGTTTTSTATTTGGGATGATAGTAAATTACTTACGAATATCAGATTATGGATTCTATCCGTCAAGATTTTTCCGTTGTTTGAGAGGTATTCTAAAGAGTTTTTTATTTTGGTTTCGTCGTCACTGTCCATAGTACCTGCTACTACTTTAAGTCCTTTTCCTAATACATTTATTAAGCCTCTTTTATVTCTAAAGTGTGGGTTAAGATTCTGAATCTTCTTTTCTAATAATAAAAAATTCTTATTGACTGTGTCCAGTAAGTGCTTGCTTTCTATTCTATTGGCGGTTAGTCCTTGTATGTTGTGTAGGATTAGTGTCACTGTGTCCTCGTACGCAGTTATATTAACAATATGAAGAATTTTGCTATAGTGATCGATTACTTTTATTTCCTCCGTCTTGACGGGAATATATCCGTTATTATTTGTCAAGTCTTGTATGTCGATTTGTTGTGCTACGGTGGTGAGAATCGTCATTATTATGACCAAAAGTCTTATTGCTGTGCTCATTTTTCTAGGGAAAGAAAAGAAAAA